CCATCCTCCACACCCCAGCCAGGAAGCCCACCAGGACATTGATGGGGAAGAACAGGTAGGTGACTATGTAGAGAGCTCGCCTGCGGGTGGAGGAGAAGGAGTAAGGAACACAAACACCACTGGACGGGAAGCACAGCCCTTCCCTGCCAGAGAAACCTCCTGCCAAAATAAGCCTCCCACCCTTCCCTCCCCTCCTTGGCAGACACTTTCCCCATCTGTCTGTGTCCCATAGAGAGAAGTAAACACCCTTCCAGCCTCTTGGAGTGGAGGCGGCCTGGTGCACCATCACAACTTCAAAGCTTGGCCTCCAGCACACATAGGGTCTCCATTTCTCCCTGAGGACTCAGAAACCAGCCATAGCATGGGTCTGGTGGTTTAGGATGGAGGACACCAGCTCCTGTGGAGCCAGAAGAGCCTACAGCAGCCTCCCCACCATGCTGGGCAAGTGATGGAGGTGGTGGAAGTGCCTTGGCTGGACAGAGCAGAACACCTAGATCCATCTGTCACCCTAGGCTTCCGCATAAGGAGACAGCTTATTCAGTGACACCATGCCTGAGCAAGGGACCGCACCTGCAGGCAGCATCTGAACCAGTCCAGCTGATCCTGAGGGGTCTGGTCTTCCTCTGAGGCTTGCAAATGGGGGTGGTGGAGCAGGGCATAGACCTCACCAGCTTCACACCAATGAAATCAAGGCTGTAAAGGGATCACGGCCCTCTAAAGCATCTAAAGAAAGCCCTCTGGGAGCACGGAAACACTCAAAACCGTCAAACCCACAGGCTTTCCCCCTTGAGCTCACAGCACAGAGGATGTCATGAGTCTGTAAACCCAACACAGTCCTGGGGTCCTGGACCTCAGGAGGGACAACTATGCCCTGAAGGCCCCCTGCATCCCCATACCTGTTGGTGAGCTCCTTCCGGAGGGGATGCTGCTCCAGAAATTGATAGTGAGCTGCCAAATTTTGCACAATGATGGCAACAACCAGGGTCAACCAGAAGGGCCTGGGTGGGAGAGAAGAGGCAGGTTGGACACCAAGAGGGTCCCAAGCATGAGACACCATCCCAGGCAGCAGAAAGCTCCAGCAAAGTTGAAAGAGCCCAAGGTAGAGCCTCCTCTTGACAGAGTACCCCAAAACACACCAGGACCACGTGGCACCCACTTGCATCTTCCATCCCTTCCCAAGGGCTGCGAGCACTCACCACATGTTCTGAATGATTTTGAAGAGATGCATGTTTGTGCCAGACTGGAGCGGGATGACGACGAAGAAGGTAAACCCCACTGAGCAGATGAAGAAAATCACTTGCTGGATGAGGAGACCTAGGGGGGAGACATGGGGAGAGAAAACATTGTGTGGGAGGATGGAGAAGCAGTTCTTTTTCTTGCTTTTGTTCCCCAAACCCGTGCTTGTTGCTGTGCGTGTCTCTCATTTTAATCCCATAAAAAGCCTGCAAGATCCTTACCTGCCTCCCCCGCTCCAAACACAATGCTCTGCACAGGATTTAATTACAAGTTCAGCCTTTCTTATCACTCTCCACATTATCCCCACCGAGAAGAGCCATCACTCAGGGCTGCAACTATGATGCTTCATCATAAAAATCAGCCTGAGCTCTGATTCCTAATCATAAATCACACAGAGATCAGCAGCGGCTGTGGTTCCTTGTGCTTGAGCTTGTTCTTCACCTCCACTGCTCTGTTTTAATGATTTGAAAACCAAGGTTTTTAAGCAAGAGGTAGATTCACAAGGGAACAGTGAGATGCAGCCAGATCTGACAGGGATGCACCAAGTACTGGGTGGCCAAAGAAAAGTTGCTCCTCGCTGGCAAAGGGAGGCAAGGAGCTCCTGGAGTGTTCCCCAGCTCCTACCTCCACACTAATCTCTGCAGTTTACCTGCAAAATAAATCCACTTTCCTGAGGGGTGGTCACCAACAGACTTGGTGGTCCCTCCTGTCCTTCCATTACCTCCCTGGACTCTCAGTTTGACTCTCCTGCGTAGCCTTGGGGTGCTGATATGGTCAGCACCACAGTATGCATCACCACAGACACTGCCCAGAGTGACCTCCCATGGGGCAGAGAGGCCTTAAAATATCTCAAAACCATGGTCAGGTGAAGATTTCTACCTGCTTTGATGTCCTCCACCCATCCACAGGATGGTCAGCCCTCCCAGTCAGGGAAACCCAGGCTGTGCTGGGGAAGACATGCATCAAGGAACACCCAGGATGTGAAGACCAGGACCAGAGGAGACAGACAGTCCTTTGCACGAGATGCTGCGACAGCTTCTCAAATCAAAATATTTGGGCTTGAGCCAAAACAAGTCATCACTTCCCAACCCCCCCCCTTTTTTTTTCTCTTCCCAACCATTTGGTGTTCAGCATGGTCCTTCCTGCAGAAGGACAGATTGTGTTTGGGGAAAGAGGAACAAAAGCCTCACAGCCATCCCTTTGCAAACCCAGGGTAGGCTGTGCAAGGTGGGGATCCACCACCCATCCTCCCACCTCTTGTCCCTCAAAACCCTTTACCCAGGCAGGCAAAAGCAGTCTGGAAGGCGGCAAAGCTCATCCAGCAGACGATGGCTTGTCGGGACGGGCGAAGGATATGGGCTTTATAGAAAACGTCCAGCACAGCACCTTGGTAGAGCGCCTTCAGGTTGTTCCTGGGGAGAGACACCAGCTGCATCCTGGCTCGGTGACAAGGCCACGGCCAGAGGAGCAAGGACACCGTACCTGTGCATCACCAGCGTCCTCAGGAGCATGGCGCAGGTCAGCAGGCAGCACAGCACCAGCGAGCAGATGTAGCAGACTGCAGAGGAGCAGGGGGAGATGGCTATATCAGGGCTGCAGCCAGCCCAGCAACATGATCATAGAATCACAGAATGGTTTGGGTTGGAAGGGACCTTAAAGATCACCCGGTTCCAACCCCCCTGCCATGGGCAGGGACACCTCCCACTAGACCAGGTTGCTCAAAGCCCCATCCAGCCTGGCCTTAGGATCTTACTGTAAAATATATCTCAGGAGCATTGCAGGGGGTTGAGTTATGGGGTGGCATGGGTGTAACCCACCGTGCTTCAGTTTCTCTCCCTCCCCCCTTTGTGATACAGGGATCTCCATCTCCCAGGTGGGCATAAGCTGGTGAGACAGTGAAAGGGAAGGGGAAAGACAAGCAGTTAGGCTAGCTCAGCACTGGGAAAATCATCAAGCAAGCAGTGATAAGCAGGCAGCGCAATGGAGAAAGCCCAGGAAGATGCTCTCAGAAAAGGGGGTGCTGGGGGGGAAAGCAAGAGCAGGAGAAGGAGGTCTAGTAGGAGGGATAGAGATGTCAGGAAAACAAAGAACATGTGGGGTGCTTGGTGACTCAGAAAAAGCTATAAGAAGCCCCTCCCAGGGTTGGTAGTACCCCAAGCTAGTGCCATGAAGGGAGGGGGGCACCCCTCCCATCCCCACACACCCTACACCCCCCATCCAGGGCTTTCAATCATCCAGGGGGCCGGGGGCCACCTGCTCGATTCCGGCACATATCAAAGCCTGCAGCCGAAGAGCAGCATCTGCAGCACGGCGTTACCGACTCTCCCTGCCTTGCCGTCTTGGCGCGTGGCGGCTGCTCGGAGATGCCTGGCACGGCGCCAGGCTCACATGTTCATGTCTGCACGGCTGTGGCAGCTGGTTTTTAAGTCCCCCTGGAAGCCACCCCATCACCAGCCAGTTTCCTGGACCATCCTCTTGGTTAGAAATCCCTCTGATAAGTTCTGAAATCCTCCAAAAATCATCTATGTATACAGAACCTGGCTGGGAACCCACCTTCCAGTGACCAGAGGTAGTACTTGACAGTGTTGAGCTCCTTCTCCATGTCACCTGGCACAGCTGGGCTCTCTGAGGGCACCAAGCCAAACTGGACCAACAGCACCACAATGTCCTTCGTCATTCCTGCCCGCACGATCTGGATGGTGGGGACAACGGCTACCAGGAGCAGCAGGGCCACCTGCAAGGGAGCAGTGCCACGTGAGCCCTGGGTCATGGCATCCCACTGCTGAGCCATCGCCTTAGCTTAAAGACTTAAGGCTGGCTGAGCCCTGGAAGCACATGGCCGGTTACTGCAGCTCAGCCAAGGGATGGTAATACCTTGAAGCATGTTAATACCATCCCCATAGCCAAAATTGTGGTGTGGCAATGACCTTTGGGCTCCTCTGCCTCAAGAGGATACAGCCAAGAAGGCAGGGAAGGGACTTTGCTTGGCATTTAACCATTGGCATCACCTGGTAGACAGCGATCACAGCCATGGTTATGGACAGGACAAGCTTCAGGGGGATCCGGAATCCTGTAAGGCAGAATTGGAGAGGTGTATCGGAGGAGCTGACATGTGGGAACACGGGGGAAGAATGGAGCAGGCTGCAGGTCCACCCAACCCAGCAGCCAAAGCAAACGCCTCGGGGAGAGCACGGGAACAGGGCTGCCAAATATTAATTGGGATTTCCTCAGGGAAATCACAAAAGGGTGAATAGCTGGGAGGTTTCTCTGTACTTCAGCTGAATGGGTTTGCTTCCAGTTGATCCTCCTTTCCCGCAAACCCATGAAACTTTACACACCCACAGCACTGAGTCCCAGCATTTGGGTGCCTGCTGTGTGGTGAGCTGTGTCCCTTGGGGTGTCACCTCCTGGGACAGCCCCTGCTTCTTCCACAGGCAGAGAAGGTGAGGAGTAGTTCCCCATTCCTGGGCTGTCAGGGATTTTATCCACTTATTGTAGATTTCATTCCCTTATCATAGCCTTATCAAGCATCAGGCTGCAATTTTAGCACAACCCATGCCTGAATCTCCCTGCATCAGCCCACCAATGCCCCCATGGTGGTGGAGGGAGGGACACACACAACGACAGCTCCCCACCCCACACCGCAACAGTTTGTGCAAAGCCAAGGCGTCGCA